TGTCTGTATACTTATATGTGTCTGTGTGCTTGTGTGGTGTGAAATGAATCACAGTCAAAGGTCAGCATTGCTTAGGGGGAGAAGAAACAGAAGCGACAGAAGTGAGGAATTGCACTTTGGAGCCATTTTCCTTGCAACACCTCAGGTTATATTGAACTGACTGAATGTATGTTTGAGACATATGTATCTGAGGATACTTTGCGCATGGATGTATGTTCTATTTAATATTTGTATCTGTGGATGAGCGGAGAGCACGTTTGCGGTAACACCCTTCTTGCAGTCAAATTCCAACAAATAATCAAATTACAACACATATTAATAAGCTGTATATACAGTATACAGTATGTATACAGTACTATCTATCTATCTATAGTGATTGGGTTTGATCTGACATTTTTTTGGGTGGGTGATTTGTTTTTACAAAAATCTATGTGCATGTTGCAAAACACAGTCACACTAGGGATTGTAAAGTGGAACTTACTGCTGTGACTTGCTTCACTTGCAGAAACTTCTCCTTTTTAATTTTGATGATAAACAACACAGTAAACTGCAGAGGTACAGAAGAAGCTCAGACAATAACTTCATCATTACTGTTGCGGCAGTATAGATAGATAGTTGAAACACTTCCTGTTTTGTGGCTGATATGCAGTTTCAGATTGGTAATGCAGGAATCATCTGGCCTACAGCGTGCTTTTTTTTTGTTTTCACAAGTTATAATGAGATCTAGCAGGATACACACAGGTTCAATGTGTCTGAGTGTGCCTGCCATGGAGCTGATTGGTTTCTGTCTCAATTTCAACAGTGATGAATAATCCAGGAGGCTGATGGAGATGGTCTACATCTCATTTGAGTCCTTTGTGCATGTGTCTGTTCATGTGTCTGTACAAACGGTATTTACTAAAAATACATTTGTTTCGGCTGGTGGACACAGCTGTTGAACCTACAGTATGAGTCTGTGGGTTTGTGCATGTAACAGTTGGTTCCAGAGCCATGTAAGCAGTTGACTTTTGTTGTGATTGATGACACGGCCAGATCGCCACAGCGGTAGATGCTTTGATGGACTTGTATGGCCTTTAGCACTACAACATCCTCGGGTGGATATAAAACAATCAGCCAGTGGCGGTGGGAGCATGTGTGTATCTTTCACTGACACTCTTTGTGAGGTTTCAAGTGTTTGGACATGACTGTGGGTGTATGTGCAAGCAGAGGCGGAACACAACCAAGTACATTTACTCAAGTACTGTACTTAAGTACAGTGTGGTAAAGCCACTTTTTCTTAAGTAAACTATGTGAGTATTTCTTCCACCACTGTGTGCTAGCAGGCAACAATGTTTTATCCTGCTACTACTATTTCAGCAAGTCTGAGTTGGACACAATGTAGTGTGGCTGTGACGCTGATCTTTCCTTTTTTGCAAATTATCAAAGCTCATTTGATTGCAATCGTCCTCATCATTATTTGGTTCTGTTTCACAGCTCCCCTATGGACCACACACAGCATGCCATACAATTGCTTCAGTGCCCTGGCACAATGAGTGTATGGCAGCTCATGAATAATCAGGAGCCGGCAATGCTTTATAATGTTGGAGATAAAGCACAATGGCTTGATTAGTGGGCTATGTGTAATCATGTCCAATATTTGAGCTGACTTCCCAAGTACAAGAGACGATTCTGAAAAGGGGCTTAAGGGATTTGGCCTTCATTAGCCTTTATTTACTGTATGAAGGTAGTTTCTCCAATCACACTCCTTTCCAACAACATCCTGTGCGAGTATTTTGTAGCTGAATACTATCTTTACACCTTATCATACTCCTAAAAAGCACTAAAATATGCTAATCCAAGAGGTGAGAGTGATGTGATTGCAGAATAAAACTAGAAGCACACATTTTGTACATATTTAGGCACTTACTGTGAAATAGGTTTATGCTGTTATAAGAAAAATTTGTCATCAAGTTCTAACAATTATTGTTCATCTTGGCTCTAAAGGAATAAATTAACACCCCTTTCTTGTCAATAGTTACCACTTTCATATTCAGCTGTTACATTTCTATATAGCCACCAGCTGGTTAGTTTAGTGTCTGGCCAAGAAAAATCACAACTTGTTGTTTTTACACATTTTTGTATAGACTAACAAAACAAAATAAAATGTCTTTGTGAACTTTATTGGCGTCAGTAGGCACATTTTATTACCTTCAGGCAGAGCCAAGCTAGCTGTTTGTCAGTTTCTATTTTTTATGCTCAGTTACATTAACAGGCTGCTGGTGATAGCTTCAGTAAAGTTCTTTGCTCTGGTCAAAAGACAAGTTATATGGAAGTAAATCCATGCCAAAAATATTGGAGGTGCTCTAACCACATTTCACTGCACTGCTCACTTTGCAGCTCAGTATTTGAGTGCATGCAGGCACAGATTTGTAAGAGCAGAATCAGATGGGAGGACAGAATGTGAGGGAAGACTGAATCGTGAACATAACCAATGATTTGAGCAGGCAGCAGGGATCCTCCCTCATTTTCAAATGTGGTTCTATTGATACAGATCCATGTCTACATGCCCTCATATTTTGATTTGCGAACTGAAGGATGCTCAAAGCTTGTTTTGTGTACTTTCAAATTTCATATTATATAATTATATATATATTATTTCATATATATTATATATTATCAGTGGAATATTGTTTTTATGTGGAATGGCATTATGGGGAAAGTGAGGTGCCTTGGCGGAGGTTTGTGCTCTCTGACTGCTGTCTAGTTTGGCAATATAGTAGAGTGGCAGCCAGATACACACTGTGATGTGAGGATTGATAGGCACTGTGAGAAGGAGCAATGGATTGCACTGACAGATCAAGAAATCTTGTTTTATGTAAGTATTTTAATTTAGATCCAATATAGTGAAACTGTCAGAGGATCAGGTTTGATCTGTTGAACAATGTTTGCACCTTAAACAACAGATCTAATGATGTTTCTTTTTCTTATGTCAGAAAGTCTTATGAAAGACAAACAGCAACAATGAACTGTATTCTTCTAACACTTGTATGAAAAGCCTGATATTGTTCATTATTGTTGTGTCATAGGGCTCCATTGTTGTGCAAAATAAATGAGTCACACTGTGGCACTGGGTGACATGACACCATGTACTAGAGTGTGGATACTCAAACCGAGCCGGGCTGTGACCCGCTGGTACCTGAGGGTCTGGGCAGCATGGTCGCTGTAGTTTATTATGAGTTGATCCAACATACAGTGTCCTACTGCACCACTGTAAATACCCACTGGCGCACCAAATCCACTATTGAAAATATTCCCCATCAAATACATATTTTACTCCTGTTTAGTGAAGATAGGTAAAAACTGGAGTGCCACAGGGTATGAAAGTATTGCAAACATTTGTTTTTGCTCTTTTCATGGAATTGAACAATAAAAAATACAGAATATTGCCACCCTTTTTAAATAACAGAGATGAAAGAGTAGCAAAGTATCTCTGCTTATGTAATTATTCTGAGGGAGGATATTTTCCTATTTTTGAACACAGCCCACTATGTTATTCATTACTAAAGAGCTTTAATATTATATGCACAGCCATTCACAAAATGTTCAGTTCTATTAATTTCTAGTCTTCACTCTCCTCGGCAGGTATAACAGAAATCTGTGTGTGGGCATCTGTCCTGTTGTGTCTTGTTCTTTCGTGCATATTTTGTACTTGTGTGTGCGTGTTCTATGAATTTGCAGTAATGGATTTGGATGTGGATAGTTGTGTGTGTGTGTGTATGAAGCTGTGTTTATCTAGTTTACACAAATTGGGCTGGAATTGTTCAGTGTTGGCGTGTGTGTGTGTTCTCTCAGGATATGAATTAGCTTCAGCTGTAAGGGCCATACTTCATGCTGAGACAGAACTTTGATCGACTGTGTTGAAAAGACAGATAATGTTAAACCATTCCTCTTCTCTTTCTCTCATTATTTACAGCAACTTTAATGCCCCCCCCTGCTCCTTTTCCCTCCTCCCTGGCCTCCATCCTTTCCTTCCTCCTTTGCTCTTTTGTCTCTCTTTTGCTCCCTGATTCATCTCTCACCCACTCACCCTCTCATCTCATCTCATTCGAGGCTCCTTCTTCACCTCCCCCTCTGGGGAGGAGGTGAGGTGAGGCGGAACGGCACTTAAATAAATTCTCACTCAAACAAAATGTCTGCGGCGAAACACATTTACAATTTAAGTTGTAAGTTCCATCTGTGCCTAAGATGATATTTTACATTTTCACTCCTTCACACAAGGATGTAACTTTTTCTCAAGCAGTGGAAACTCACAACCCACTGCCAGTGCTTCCACAATAACTTGTAAACTTGTAAAGAGCTGAAATTATTAGTCAATTGACAGGAAATTATTTTGCAGTTTTTTTGAACTAGCCGTGAGCATTTTATGCCTTTATTGCATAGCCGCAGTAGGGAGCTGAGAGGAAATGAGAGGAAAGAAAAAAGAGGAACAAAAGGTCCTTGGCTGGACACAAACAAGGGATGTGGTGATTCATGGTTGGCCCCTTATCTTCCAGGGCACAAGGGGCCATTTTTATTACTTTTAAAAAATATAAATCCCAAAACGATGTTGGTTCCACCTTCTCAAATGTGAGAATTTTGCGTTTTTATTTCTTTTGTATTATATAGGCCAAATGTGCCACTATAAACATTTAAAGATGCCTTTGATTGTTTTTGACAATTCAAAGACTATACAATTTATTGATTCATTGAAAAATTATTGATAATGTAAATAGAAGTTGGTTGTAGCTGTTAAATTCTAAGAGACACAAATTTTCCTTTTGCCTCAGTCCATGTTTCATTATCATCCTACAGCTTTTTCATCTCTGCTGCCTATCAGCTCAGCAGTTTTCCTCCTGTTTCACTTGCTCCCCCTTCTTCTCTTCTTCCTCCAATGATCTGTGTTTATCATTGCAAGGTGATGCTGCTGGGTGCATGCTCCTTTGGTTCACGTTTGCCTCCCCAGCACACATTCTTACACAGGCACAAACACACATAGCCAGTCTCTAGCTTATTCCTCCACTCACCCTCAGATCAGCCCAGCCTCCATTGCTTTTTTCAATTCCACATCTCTCTCTCTCTCTCTCTGGGTCTTGTTGTTCGGAGAGAGGGAGCCAGCGGGTGAAGTGTTTGCTCGGTGCCGCCGCTTCAGAGGAGTAGAGCTGTTTATTCAGCTGATGAATGACGGACAAAAACGGAGAGAAGGATGAACAGATCAACAGAGCCACGAGTGAATGAATGAATGAACGGATCCACACCTGGACTTTTCCCAGAGTACCTAACCAGTGAGAAGACACACAAACGTGTGTATTACTGTTGTTATTACTATGATTTCATAATCTCTGCATTGATTGTAAGTAGTTATTTGCTGTTCCTGAGAATATTTAAGCCTCGCGTGTGACAGGAGACGGTGT